TGTTTCTTTTGCAGTACAGAAACTTCTCAATTTGATGCAATCCCAATAGTTGATTTTGGCTTTGACTGCCTGTGCCTCCCGGGTCTTTTCCAGAAATTCTTTGCCTGTGCCAATATCTTGAAGGGTATCTCCAATGTTCTCTAGTAACTTGATGGTGTCAGGTCGTAGATTTAGGTCTTTAATCCATGTTGAGTGGATTTTTGTGTAAGGTGTAAGGTAGGGGTCTTGCTTCATGATTCTGCACGTGGAAATCCAATTTTCCCCCTCCATTTATTGAATAGACTGTCCTTGCTCCAGGAATTAGTTTTAGATCCTTGATCAAATATAAGTTGGCTTTAGATGTTTGGGTTGATTTCTGGTGTTTCTATTGTGTTCCATTGGTCTATCCATCTGTTTCTGTACCAGTACCATGCTGTTTTGATTACAACTGCCCTGTAGTATGTCCTGAAATCTGGTATTGTGATGCCTCCAGCTTTGTTTTTGTGGTACAAGATTGCTTTAGCTATTCAAGGTCTCTTGTGCCTCCATATAAATTTCAGCACCATTTTTTCCAGATCTGAGAAGAAGGACTTCGGTATCTTGATTGGTATTCACTGTTACTTTTAAATTTTCAAATTTTACATTCATTGTAACCTTAACTATTTTGTGCCTTATCTAGATGATTATTCCAAAAGCTTACAATCAGTAGGTGAAATCATTCACAGCAGAGTGTGAACACCTTGACTCAGTTTGCTTCCTGTATAGCAGTTCGGTTAGTCTCCTGGTTAACGCTACTTTTTTTTTTTTCTTGTTTAAAAATGTCCTGAATTGTCATCTTTTGGGTCTTGTGAGATTTATCCATGCTTTAAAACTCTCTCATCCAGGACTCCCCTTGCGAAGATGTCTTGCTTCTGGAACTTTCTCCCTCCAGGATCTACTACCTTCCTTTCAGGACTGCCTGCTAGTTATTGCTCTCCTGGGTCAGATCCTGACTTTTTCTTTCTTTCTTGGCTCATTCCCTCGTTCTCCAGGAGCATATACTTAACCCATTCCCTACCAAAGAACTTGTGAGAGGAAACTGTCCCAGACTCTATGCCAGAGCAGATTTTTATTCTGAGCTCACTAAGTTATTTGTTATCAGGGTTGAACTTCTGGGTTGAAAGCCATTTTCCTCAGAGGATGAGGAGGTGTTGCTTGTGATAAATTGGGATGTATGTCTCCTTTTTTGATTTTCTTTTCATGTCCTCTCTCTGGGTGCCACCCCCTATCCCAGTACTCAGAGGTTTAGTATAATTTCTTAATTCTTGTGAAACTTTAGAAGTTTGTCCAAGTATGCATTTTATTTTAAAAATCTTGTGTAGAAAGTGGTAAGTCCTTTTGTTTATTTCTGTAAATTATATTAACATTAATTTCTTTTGATTCTTTTTCTCTGTTCTTAAACATCAGCGTTCTTGATTTAAATTTTTTTTGTTGAAGTTTTTACTTGCATCAGTCTCTTTGTTCTTCATTTGGAACTTCTTTATATATACAAGCTTCTGTGGAAAAATGTTACCTGGAAAACAGGTTATTTTTTAAATGAATTTTTTCCATTTTTGAATTGCTTTTTGATTACAGAAATTTTTCTTCAGTTTACTTCAAGGATGTGGTGGCTTATTAAGTTAGTGGATGCAGGGTGCTTTGTTGTGCCCGTCAGATTCCCTCCAAGAGGGAGGCACTCACTGCTCCCTCCCCCTGCTCAGGAGTGTGGCTTGCAGGTTCCCTCCATGGGTGGCCTGGAGCCAATAACTGACCAACATGGTTGAGTTGGGGTTGGGGTGGGGATGTATTAGGAGCTCGCCTGTTGTTTCAACTCTAGAAATTTATGAAGGTTCATCCCAGCCCCTGGCACCCCATGGGAGTTCCTGAGGTGTCTTTGGCAATAGTCACTTGTAAGCTTCTCTGATTATATTTTCACATTCCTTTCCTCAATTCATTTAGAAAAATGGACATCTCTGTCTCTGTCTCTCTCACTCTCAGAATCTGTTTCACTACCCCACTTAAAATACAATGTGAAGATATTCAGTTAACGTGATTTTTTTATTTTTAAATATTTTTTTAAAGGTCTTCCTTCCTTTGGTTCACCCCCCAAATGGCCGCTACAGCCGGAACTATGCAGATCAGAAGCCAGGAGCCAGGTGCTTCCTCCTGGTCTCCCACACGGGTGCAGGGCCCAAGCACTTGGGCCATCCTCCACTGCCTTCCCAGGCCGCTGCAGAGAGCTGGACTGGAACAGGAGCAACTGGGACTACAACCTGGCACCCATATGGGATGCTGGTGCCTCAGGCAGAGGATTAACCAAGTGAGCCACGGTGCTGGCCTTTTTAAAGATTTTTAAAATCTGTTGTCTCGAGGTACACATCTGTCAGTTTTTCATCCTATGTTTTGGGACATGGAAGGTGTGTGCAGGAGACAACTCCTTAGAACCACAGTGTCATTCTTTGCGGCCACTTGTTCCTCCTCTGCTCTGTTCTCCTGTCCACATGTCTTGCAGAGTTCTGTCCACAGAGTATGCTATACTTCACTGACATCTCTGCAAGGGCTCTGTGCCTCTGTGCCATGGCTTGTGCTACTCTATTGTCCCTCACGAGGTTGACCCTGCTTTCTGCATTCTGGAGATAGTTGGCACATCTCCTTTATAGATGTGCCTACCTTCCATTCTTTCAGTTGCAATGTTGACTTGTCTCTTTTTATTCCTTCATATCATGTTGGTATCAACACAGAAGGAACAGTGAGTCCATACTAACTGAAAAGAGAGGTCTTTTCCCTTTAGGAAAATATTCAGTTACTGGTTGATAGTCAGTGAGCCAGATTTCAATTTTCTGAGATAATTTAAAGATTCTAGAAAGGAGTGGGCATTCTGCACAGTGCTGGAAAGTTCACTTGGAATGCCTGCATCCCATATCAGAGAACCTAGGTTCATGTCCTGCTTCCAGCTTCCCAATAATCCACAGCCTGGGAGACAGCAGGTGATGACTCAAGTACTTGAGTCTCTGCCACCCACATGGGAGACCCAGACTGAGCTCTGGACTGCTAGCTTTGGAGTGGCCCATCTCTGAACCAGCATATAGAAGATTCATTCTCTCTCTCTCTCACCTCTCTCTCTCACCTCTCTCTCTTTCTCCTCTTCTTTTTCTTTCCCCTCCATCCTCCTCCTTTCCTGTTTATCTTTTTATTTTTATTTTTTTGGCCCCTCTTTCTCATTTTTCTTTCAAATAAAAATATTGAAAAGGGAAAAATTTGCTTCTTGGCCTTGCTTTATTCTTCAGTACCTGTTTGACTTGGACAAATCATTCAAAATCTCCAAGTCTTACTTTAGTACTCTAGTGTCTACTACTAATTTGTTAAGAGAAAATGATGAAAAATTTCCTAAATTTCATGATGGGTTATTTGGAAGAGCTACCACATGCAAACAAATGTATCTGATGCAATTTATATGAGGATTTAGGATGAGGTACAATTCTGGTCACTTAACTTACAATCATGCAGTTCATTTCAATATCTGTTCTGTGTCAGACCCTGAATAAGAGTCTATGGCCAGGTGGAAAAAACAATGTCTAGACTCATTGTTTGGTGGATGTAGAAAATTAATAAAGATAATTTTGCCATAAAATGGAAAATATTCCCTAATATACTAACAAGCTTGAATAGAACTACAATTTATTGAGTTTTTAGTATTTCCTGGTTCTTGTACAAATGCCTTACATTTTTAAACTAATTAATATCCACAACAAATTGCTTATGCAGACTTTCTTCTCCTCCAGTTTGCCAATGCAGGCATCAAGGCATGAACAAGAGTTGACAGCTGGTAAGAGAGAAAGCCAGAATTCGAGTCCAGGGAGTCTGGCCCAGATGCTGAGCTTGTAACATTTTGGCTGCACTGTTTCCCATGAGAGAGGAGGGTGGAATAAGTAGAGCAGAGAAGTCAGATCCTTAATGGGGTTGGGGTTGGCAGTGACACCTGAAGTTATTTATTTATTTATTTTTTGCTTTGCTTCTGTGGATAAATAGGGAGTTTGCTGGATTTTTAGTCCTTTATTGATATACTTTTGGTAAACCATTCCCATGGTTAGCCAAAGGCCTTGAAATAGACCTTGATGATCCCATCAACTCTAGCTGATGTGAGTATGCTTGAAAAAAGTCAAAACATCTATTCAAAATTTTCTAAATACTTTTGATAGCTACAATCAAATGATATCATAACTACATTCAAGTTTTTTTTAGCACTTTTCCTTCACACTATGCCTTTTTAAAACCGAATTGTAAAGAAATATTTGAGTTTGTCAAGAATTATATACTCTTGCAAAAAATTCCAAGTCTTCATAAAAGTGTGAAATGCGGGAATTCACATATATTATTGATGGGAGTGTAAATTGAAATGCCTTTGGGAAATCATTTGACGTTAGTATGTTCATTAGTATGTCTACTTCCTACAACCTACAGCCAGACATACACTTTGAGGAAACTCTTGCCTACAACTCCAGAAAACACGCATAAGGACATTGTTAAAAACCCTAGAAATGTGGAGTTAGCTTTGAGGTGCAACGTGTTAAGCCACTGCTTGTGATGCTGTTAACTCATGTCAGAGTGCCACTTTGAGTCCCAGCTTCTCTGCTTCTGATTCAGCTTCCTGCTAATGTGCCTAATAAGCAAGGGAATATGGCCCCTGCCACCCAAGAGATCAAGATGGAGATCCTGGATACTGGCTTTGGCCTGGCTCAGTCCTGGCTGTTGAAAACATTTGGGAAGTGAACCAGAGGATGGTAGATTCCCCTCTCTCTACCCACCCCACTCCATCTCTTTCAGTCCTTCTGTCTTTCAAATAAATAAATCTTTTTAAAGCTCTATAAGCAATGCAAATGTCCCTTAGATATAGAATTGGATGCATATCTATCATGATACATTCATAAAATGGGATAAGAGACAAGCATAAAAATATTCAAATATATTCTGTATAGTCTTTTTGTGTGTGATCTATTTCACAACATTTTTTAAACTTTTTAGTTGGCTTTAATGTCTAATATTTACATAAGAAATTATTCTTGATTAACATAATAATGCTTAAGGGAAGAATACCAGAATTCCTAAATCACTTCAGACATAAGCAAAAGAAGCTTTGCACTAAAGACTTAGGAATGAAACTGCAAAGCTGGTTAAATTTTCTCTTTTCTAAAATGTACACAATCAATGAAACCATCAAATGTATCAGATGAAAATCCTCATCTTTCTCTGTTTTGTTCTTCAGAATAGATGCATAAAGCACAGATAGGAGGTATTTAAGCAAATAAAATGTCCACTTCAGAGAAGAAATCTGGAATAGGGAATTGGGTAGGAATCACTGTCTTCTTCACCGAGCACACCTTCTGAGTTCTTTGCCCAAGGTGGCCCAGCTATAAAGTTAGCTTGCTAGATCCCTGGGTGTTTTAAATAATACGTGTGACACAGGCTGTTCATCCATTCGTGAGGTCACTCATTAATTCAGCAAATACGTACGGAGAACTTACTCTGCTAGGTCTTGTGCTGGGGAGCTGCTAGTGAAGATGATAGATGCAGTCTCTGCTGTGTGTGGAACTCACTATCAGAAAAGGACAGGTGAGAAACCAGCCAGAGCACCTGCACATCAGGCCTGATGCCTTGAATTGGGGACTTTGTGCTGAGAGGCACTTCCTATCAACTATGTATCCAGCACTTAAAGCTCGCTTCAGAGATACTAACTCAGAATTTTCATAAATAGATCAGTATTATGGGAATAGGGTGTGGTGTATGGAAGGTTGTTGGTCTAAAAAATGTTCTAGGTAGATGAATTTATTTAACAATTATAACATTTATCAGGGTCTTTTATGGGTGAGTCACTGGGAAGAATAGGAAAGCTATCAGGCAGAGACTCTCAGATCAGTTGTCAAATTCTGCCCCTCTGCCCCATCATATCTTTCCCCCAGATTCTCCTGGTTAAAGTTCATTGACTTCTGCTTGTGAAGCTCAGCTTTGACCCCCGTTCTCAGAGGAAGCAAGTCCTCCCTCTGGTACTCTGCTCTTTCATGTTTACTATGAAGAAACTGTTTCCAACTCAGTGTGCAGTGATGTGCACTCTCTTCTCTGCACTGACCAGTGTTTCCTGAAAGGATGGAACACACATCATAAATGGAGGCCTGTGCCTTTATTTCATACCTTTAATTCTCACAAGTGTTAGATTTGACCATCCATGTGTTACAGATGAGGAAAAGGAAGCTAGAGATTGACCAGTCTTGCCACTTGTTTTATCAGACCAAAGTGCTAGAAAAACTTGACCCCAAACCTCTACTTTTTCCAAGAGGTTAAACTTACTCTGTTACAAAAATTCATTCATTCTTTGGTTTTGCCTCAAGGATCAAGATGAATGCCTGTTTCTCCTTGGTGCTACTGCTCTCTACTCTTCTGATTTCTGACTCTCCATTATTGCCATCCAAAGTTGCCTGGTCATCAGTGGTAAGGTAGGACTCCAGGGTTCGGTCCAATTTCCTTTCTACTTTCTAAACTTCATATGAATCTAATGCTTTGATATTTAGCAATGGAAGGTTTACTTTATTCTCGATTTGTAAAATCCTTATAAGCCAGTTAAAAGAGCCAAACTCTGTTTTCACTTTATAAAATTCCAAACATATAAATGCATGCAGTCAAGCAAGAGAGTATAAAAATTTTAGGGTGTTATACAAACCTAAATGAAAGGAGTGGCATCATGTAAGGAAGCTTGGCACTTTGTCAAGGTGAGTCCTATGACATCAACATATCACAGGAATTCATTTCAGTATCATAATAAACAATTTATGAAAGAAATCACACATTCATTAGTGGTATCCATTCCTTCCTTCTGCCCTGTATTCTAGAGATATTTGTTGAGTGCCAACTAAGTACTAAATATAATTCTAGGCACAAGAGTATGGATCCGATTCTTATTTTTAAGGTAAAGCTAGTGATAGTTGAAGATAGATAGTAATTAGATACATAAAGAGATAAAGGAAAATAATGTAATTATTGGTAGTGATTAAAGCAATGAAGAAAATAAAATGCATTGAGGAGGACTAGGATTATTGGAGGGGTAGTGGTGGCAGGCAACCTCTATCATGGTCCCTAATGTTCTACCCTAAGACTTTGTATGCCAGGCATCTGGGACCTTATGAGCTATACTAACAACTTGCTCTCCATCAGTAGAAATGATTTCACTTTCATGATTAGGTTTTAAAAAGTATAGCCTCTGTTGTGCTAGTCGTCTCTATTGCTTTGATGAAATAAGCTGTCATGTTGATGAAACCGACATGGCAAACAATTGTGGGTGACCTTTGCCCGTTGCCAGCAAGGAGTTGAGGCCCACAGTACAATGACCTTCAAGGAACAAATTCTTCCAACAATTGAATGGTGTTGGAAATAGATCCTTTCCAAGCTGAACTTTCAGATGAGACCCTAGCCTTGACCAACATGTTTATTTAGAGAAACCTGAAGGAGTCCCAGCTAAGTCTATCTGGATTCTTGACCCACAATAACTGTGAGATGATAAGTATGTATTGTTTTAAGCTGTTAAGTCTATGGTAATATTGTCATGAAGGGTGATGTTATTGTATTATATAGTTTGTATGCTTAAAACTTATAAGAATCTCTTTAAAGCTTATTATAACAAAAAGTCTTATTTGCCACTCATATTGTACTGTCATAAAATTGAAATTTCAGCCTCTTTGTGATAATCATTCATCTTTCCAAACTGGCCTTGGATCCTTTGTTTCAAAATCAGTGATCTAAGTCATTTGTGCCTAATATGTCACTTGCTACAAGAACCAGCTTTAGTGAGGCCCCTTTGTAGTTTCCACATTTATTAGCTTATCTTTCAGAGTTACAAGCTTATCCATGGTCTGTTACCATTAATAATGTTTATATGAGCCAGGATGGTGCTCTGTCACATACTATTTTCCTTCAAGGCATTTTAAACTTAGGATTTTATTCTAGAGAAAACTCCATACTTACAGAAATAGTGGCATTGATTTTGTATCAAAAATCATACAGGATCTAGTCTGTTAGGGTCCCAAGGGAACCTGTATGAGGAGCTGTGTTTGTAGGCTATGACCATCTAAACAACTTTGGTGCCATTTGCTAGAATAAGTTCAACGTAATTCATTGCTTGGTGGCTTCAAGGATCAGCTCCTAGTAGAAAATCTTTAGTGGAAATAGCTGGGTTTACATCTGCTCATGACTTAAGAACAGATCCTCTGCAAGCAGACAAGATGATGGGAAAGGCAGTAAATGAGAAACAAGCCATACACACCCTAGGGGAAAGGAGAAAGGGAGAGAGACCCCCAAAATGTTGGCTCCATCAAAAGCTCTTGATTTCACTGCCAGTTGAATTTTTTCTCTCTCTGGATATCAGGAAAACAGACTCTATAGTGTGTGTTTTCTCTTCCCGTACTCCTCATGTTGGTTAGGATTCTCTGTCAAAAACCATGTATGCCTTTTCCCAATAGTGCTGCATTTTGCCCCCTTGTGGATTTCCTGGAGTCCAAGTAACAAGTCAGCCATTTATTTTTGAATAAGAAAAGATTTAATAATTTTAATTAAAATATACTTTTAAAATAGCATTATTGGGTATATGTCACCCTAAAGCAGAGTCTCGGCTGTTGTCTCCTGACATTCTTTGTACCAATGCCTCAGCCTTCCATCAAAGCTTTATTACCAATTTGGGCTGGTCATTGTATGCCCAGTCAACATGTAGGAAGGAAATAAAATAATAAAAGGCTGGCACTTCCTTAATAGGATACATGGCCCAGTTGTTCTCATCCCCAGATCTCCAACCAGAGATCTCTTTTCTATAGTGTGAACGTCTGTTGATTAAAATACAGTATGCATTATTAGTGCTTCTCCAGTCACAGGAAAAAAAATATTGAAAGCAAGTTGATGGCCGGCACCATGGCTCACTTGGCTAATCCTCTGCCTGCGGCTCTGGTACCCCAGGTTCTAGTTCCGGTTGGGGTGCTGGATTCTGTCCCGGTTGCTCCTCTTCCAGTCCAGTTTTCTGCTGTGGCCTGGGAAGGCAGTGGAGGATGGCCCAAGTGCTTGGGCCCTGTACCCTCATGGGAGACTAGAAGGAAGCTCCTGGCTTTGGATTGGCGCAGTGTGCCGGCAGTGGAGGCCATTTGGGGGGTGAACCAATGGAAGGAAGACCTTTCTTTCTGTCTCTATCTCTCTCACTGTCTAACTTTGCCTGTCAAAAACAGAAAATTCTAGGTTTGACGGCTGTTTTGGGGGCCCTGCTTGGTATTACAGACAGTATGGAACTGGAAAGATACTCAGATATGGAAATAGCATGTAGTATCTAATAATCTGAGTTTCGAGTATGTGTACACGTTTGCAATAAGGCTGTATAATAATTTGTAGACTGCCATTCTGAAAGTATTAAAAGACCACTTCTGACAATTTTCAACATTCTTAGATTTAATTTTAAGTGGACACTGCTTCAGAAGGAAATTGCTTCTCTTCCCTTAGATTCTCATTATATGATACGATACAGACTAATCACAATATTTCAGCAACAGTGTGTCCACTTCTGCACACTCTGTAAATATATGCTTTTCCCAAATATCATAGAATTATTTATTTTAAAAAAAAAGGTTTTAGGTATCAAATGAGTCAAAATCATGATGATTTAGAAATTAACATACTTGGAAGTAGGTGGGGTACTGATTCCTGACTCATCTCTAGCCAGGGTGCTGCTCTAAATCTCATCACAATTACTGCAAATTTAATTTTTCAAAAGTCTGTCAAATAGGCCAGCGTTGCGGCTCACTGGGCTGACCCTCCATCTGCGGCGCCGGCACACCAGGTTCTAGTCCCGGTCGGGGCGCTGGATTCTGTCCTGGTTGCTCCTCTTCCTGTTCAGCTCTCTGCTGTGGCCAGGGAGTGCAGTGGAGGATGCCAAGTGCTTGGGCCCTGCACCCACATGGGAGACCAGGAGAAGCACCTGGCTCCTGGCTTCGGATCAGCGCAGTGCGGTGCGCCCACCACAGCAAGCCAGCTGCAGCATGCCGGCCGCAGCGGCCATTGGTTCACCATTGGGGGTGAACCAATGGAAAAGGAAGACCTTTCTCTGTCTCTCTCTCTCACTGTCCACTCTGTCAAAAAATAAATGGTTTTAACAACAAGAATCCTTAATGCTGATCTTTGTTAGTTCTGTGACATTGGGCAGATTTTTCTCATTTTTTTTTAAATTTGTAAAATGAGAATAATAGTGTCTTCCTCAAAGGAATATCGTAAGAACTAATAGAGATGATTACCTAATACTGTGACCTTAGAGAGTTGTGAGTCTTGAAGATGGCTCCAGTGACTCCTAGGCTGTAGGTGGTCACGTGATATAAGCATGGTGATGGTATTATGATGGCAGAGATTTGCATAGTTGTTTTTGAAATAAAACAATTTAAACATTTTAAAATTTTTTAGAGGAAATATGAATGAGAATACTCTCATTCACTGATTCAATTCCCAAATGCACACAAAAGCTGGGAGCCTGGGGCTAGAATGGACCTGCAGAAGGGCACCCATATGACTGGCAGCAACACAATTACTTGAATTATCACTACTGCCTTCTGGGTCTGCCTTAGCAGGAAGCTGGAGTCCGGAGGCAGCCTTCAGCCCAGGCACTCCAGTGTGGGACACAAAGTCAACTGCCAGGCTAAACACCCACTCAGATGTTAATGAATTTAATATCCTCTAAATCAGCTATTTTTCAAAAAGTTTCACATATTTGAGAGGCAGAGTTACGGAGAGGGAGAGACAGAGGGAGAGGTCTTCCATCTGCTGGTTCACTCCCCAAATAGCCACACTGGCCAGAGCTGGACTGATTTGAAGCCCAGAGCTTTTTCCAGGTCTCCCACATGGGTGCAGGAGCCTAAGCACTTGGGCCATCTTCTACTGTTTTCCCGGGCACACCAGCAGGGAGCTAGATTAGAAGTGGAGCAGCCAGGACTTGAACTGGCACCCATATAGGATGCTGGCGTCACAAGTGGAGGTTTAACCTACTATGCCACAGTGCTGGCCCCTAAATCAACTATTTGAGGGAAAAGTTTTATCCCCACTCGAAAGAAACAAAAAAAAAGTCAAGTATTAAAATGTAAAAACTGAAAGAATTACAATGAATTCCAGTGACTATGTATTAATATTGGAGAATGAGACCACAGTAACGAACATAACAAGGCTCAAATAAAAAGGAAAAGCCTATCCAATAGTCTTATATGATATTAAAGATGAAAGCTCCTGTAAATGATAGAAGACACTTTAATAAAATGAAAGACTAATTTCAAACAAAAAAGAGTATTTTAAAACTATAGAATAAGGGCGGCGCCGCGGCTCACTAGGCTAATCCTCCGCCATGCGGCGCCTGCACACCGGGTTCTAGTCCTGGTTGGGGTGCCGGATTCTGTCCCGGTTGCCCCTCTTCCAGGCCAGCTCTCTGCTG